CTCGTATTCGGGCGACAATTAAATGCATAAGCAGACACGGTTGAATTAATCTGGTAAACTGCATTCACGTGCAATTTAACCATTTGCGTATGAGAAGAACGGAAAGAGAGAAATTGTTGAGAGAAATCGATAGAATATCGCATTTCGTTGCTAGCTTCACGCGAAACTTGATAGGACGAAGCCTACTTGTGCGGACTTTGTTCGTCGCGAAATATGTCATAAAGAATAGAAAATTGACGAAGTTTATCAGGACCGAAGGTTCACTTCTGCTTGCTTGTTGTCGACGATGGGTGGAAGGGGTGGAAAAGCGACGCCTGCAAACTGAAAGTCGTCCGCTCTCCTAACGAGCGCACGTCCAATTTAATGCAAGATTTACAGTTACTTTCCTCCTCCCCAAAACCCAATATCCGATGCGATAGAGTAATAAGCAAAGTCAGCGGAAAATAAGTGCAACTTGCGACACTAGATTGCAGCCTTTAATTGTCTATTTCTTTCAATACGTAAATGAAAAAGTAGTGTTTTCACATTTTATTGAATTTCTTTGATATTATAATAGAATAGAAGCATATGAAAGCTGGATGTTTGGGGAATGTAACGAGTATTCATATGGTTTTATCCATTTGGCGTAATTTGAGTTCAAAATTGAAAAAAAAAATGAAAAATTAAAAGCACTATTTTCACATGGATGCAAAAGTTGAAAATGAAATTTAGATATCTGTGGAATGTAGAGAGTATACAAATATTGCTGTCGTTTTATCCGTTTGTCTGTAATTTGTGTTCAAAAATGAAGAAACTTAAATCATACTTTTCTTAATTCATTGAAACTGTTTAGTAATAAGACTTTTGTGAATTGTGCACAGAAACGATTTTTAATTGTATTTTCTATTAGTTCTTTCTTTTCTCTGGTTGGTAAGACTTGCGGAAATTAAAAAAGATCGTTGGAGGGAGGAATGCGGAGGGGTCACATTTGGTGTAATTTGAGTTCAAAATTGAAAAAATTAAAAACGAAAAGCACTATTTTCACATGGATGCAAAAGTTGAATATGAAATTTAGATATCTGTGGAATGTAAAAAGTATTCAAATATTGCTGTAATTTGCGTTCAAAAATGAAGATACTTAAATCATACTTTTCTTAATTCATTGAAACTGTTTAGTAATAAGTCTTTTGTGAATTGTGCACAGAAACGATGTTTAATTATATTCTCTATTAGTCCTTTCTTTTCTCTCGTTGGTAACACTTACGGAAATTGAAAAGGATCGTTGGAGGGAGGAATTGCGGAGAGGTTGCATTTGGTGTAATTTGTGTTCAAAATTGAAAAAATGAAAAATTAAAAGCACTATTTTTTTATGGATTCAAAAGTTGAATATGAAATTTAGATATCTGTGGAATATAGAGAGTATTCAAATATTGCTGTAATTTGCGTTCAAAAATGAAGATACTTAAATTATACTTTTCTTAATTAATTGAAACTGTTTAGTAATAAGACTTTTGTGAATTGTGCACAGAAACGATGTTTAATTGTATTCTCTATTAGTCCTTTCTTTTCTCTGGTTGGTAACACTTGCGGAAATTGAAAAGGATCGTTGGAGGGAGTAATGCAGAAGGGTTGCATTTGGTGTAATTTGAGTCCAAAATTGAAAAAAATTAAAAGCACTATTTTCACATGGATCCAAAAGTTGAATATGAAATTTAGATATCTGTGGAATATAGAGAGTATTCAAATATTGCTGTAATTTGCGTTCAAAAATGAAGATACTTAAATTATACTTTTCTTAATTAATTGAAACTGTCTAGTAATAAGACTTTTGTGAATTATGCACAGAAACAATGTTTAATTGTATTCTCTATTAGTACTTTCTTTTCTCTCGTTGGTAACACTTGCGGAAATTGAAAAGAATCGTTGGAGGGAGGAATGCGGAGGGGTCTCATTTGGTGTAATTTGAGTTCAAAATTGAAAAAATGAAAAATTAAAAGCACTATTTTCACATGGATCCAAAAGTTGAATTTAGATATCTGTTGAATGTAGAGAGTATTTAAATATTGCTGTAATTTGCGTTCAAAAATGAAGATACTTAAATCATACATTTCTTAATTCATTGAAACAGTTTAGTATTAAGACTTTTGTGAATTGCACACAAACAATGTTTAATTGTATTCTCTATTAGTCCTTTCTTTTCTCTGGTTGGTAACAATTGCGGAAATTGAAAAGGATCGTTGGAGGGAGGAATGCGGAAGGGTCGCATTTGGTGTAATTTGTGTTCAAAATTGAAAAAAATGAAAAGCACTATTTTCACATGGATCAAAAAGTTGAAGTATGCAAATATTGGTGTGGTTTTAACTGTTTGTCTGTAATTCGCGTTCAAAAATGAAGATACTTAAACCATACTTTTCTTAATTAATTGAAACAGTTTAGTAATAAGACTTTTGTGAATTGTGCACAGAAACGATGTTTAATTGTATTCTATTAGTCCTTTCTTTTCTCTGGTTGGTAACACTTGCGGAAATTGAAAAGGATCGTTGGAGGGTGGTAAGGACTCACCTTGTTCCGGGTTTTCTTCGTCCAAGTGCAATATATCGTTATAAAATTTGCTGCGCCGCAATAGATCATCCGGCCGTTGCGCGGATCCGACGCTTCCTTCGGCCTTCTGGTCCGCATCCTTCGAATTCCCGAGAATCCCCAGACCGAAGCCGGACACGCGCAGCACCACGCAAATCACCACTGTCAAAGTCGCCGTGTGCATGACACACGTACCGTCAATTATTTTGAATCGAACCTTCTTCGATCCAAATTTACAATTAACTATCATTAAAGATCGACTGGTTGCATATAATTAGTATTAACAATTATTTTTTTTTTAATTAACAATTTGCATACATTTATGTTAACAATTTAAATTGAATATTTCAATCTTGCATACAGTTCACAGTTCAGGCACAAATTTTGTTTGCAAATAAGCTTTCTGGGAAACTTATTAACATCCATAACATCTCCGAATTCTCCCATATTTCAGCACCTTTATGCACACCGGAGCTTCGAAATTGCATAATAAATATGTGAAACTGTATATTTACCGCTTTCATCGATAGTTTGCTTTGCAAATAATTATAATATTTAGTTTGCATTTCAATTAGATTTCTCAGTAAAGTTTCCAACAACATTGAACTATTCGATATTCAATATGTTATGCTTAAATTACAGATTAATTCCACAAATTTGTATTGAAACAATACTGAAAATATGTTTGGTAATAAATCATCTCAAATTCTATTCATTTCCTCGTATAAATTGTGCAGATTTTCATGTAGAAAATGACGAAATTAATCACGATTTTTGTGCTTCCCACATATTCTCGCGTCTCATCTTAATTGCTTTATAATAAACTTTCGTGAAATATCGTTGCGCTGACTCGCAGATCCGAAACTTGCAAATATCATTAATAACACTTTTGTATAATACCGCTGCGAACTTCTCCATAATCTCCTCATCTATACACTAAAACTTGAAACTTTAGACAACCAACAACAACAATAACAAATATAACCTATTAATAGCACAGTATTTACCCTATCTAGTTACTAAATCTTTATTAATATTTTGAGTTTCATTGATTTAGTAACGAGTTTATGCAGCAAGCAAATATTTGCAACAACAAAAACACTTTTGTTTATTTGTATATTTTTTTTTTTTGGCTCTAGATCAAAAAGTGGGGTCGAAATTAATACGTTGGAAATTCGGTTTGCGCGAGAGAGCGTTGACCAAATTTATATAGGTTGATGGCGTCAGGGAAATTTCCATTTTCCACTGAAAACCCGTCGTTCGCTTGTTGATTTTTTCGGCGAAGGTTTATTGTTGCACAGCCGCAGTCGATTGTCGAATTTTATCCAATGCAATTTCCAATTCACAGGTTTTAAATGGAAATTGCCTCCATATTTCGGATCCTTTTTTTTTTTGACTAACTTTAACAAAAAAAAAACATGGGCATTTCACATTCACGAAATTCCAATTAATTTAACGATTAATAGCCAAACGGATGAAACCACAACAATATATGAATACTCGCTACATTCACCAAACATTCAGCTTTCATATGCATGTTTTGGATCTATTCTATCCTTTAAAGTTTCCGAGAAAATCAATGAAATGTGAAAACACTGCTTTTTTAAAGTTTTTTTCAAATTTAAACGCCAATTGCAGCCAAACGGATGAAACCACAATAATACATGAATACTCGTTGCATTCCCCAAACATTCAGCTTTCATATGCATCTTTTGGTTCCATCCTATCTTTTATAGTTTCCGAGAAAATCAATCAAATGTGAAAACACTGCTTTTTTGAACGTTTATTCAATTTTATACGCGAATTACAGCCAAACGGATGAAATCAATTAAGTAAATAAAAATTTGCGTGAACGTTTATTTATTTGTCCTTGTAACAATTAAGAAATAAGCTGTTATGTAAATGCTAGTGAAGCGAAACAACGACTTGTACAGCAGACTAAGTACAGGATATAACTCTGTGTCTATATAGTCGAAAGTTCACCGAAACAACTTAACCCCTATCTCCCTCGCAAAATTAAAGCCGGATCACAGAACCGAAACACGTTCTGCTAAATTCATCTCGTACAATTAATAAAATTTGCATTCACGCAACGCATGTTTTCGGCGATTAATCAATATGATAAAGCTGCTAGTGAATGCAAAAAAATAAAATTTAAAAAAATATATAATAATTTCGCGATGATTCGCAGGAATTAGCGTGAAGGACGTAATCCGTAATTCGATCGGTGATAGATGGAGCTTTGATTCGGTTTCAATATTTTATTTTTTGCTTGAGCTTTTTAAACGTAATAGGATATTGAATGGTAAATAATCCTTGATGGTAATTTAAATGATCTTTACATACACTTTTTTCCTTTTCTTTCATTCCTTTTAGAATCCTTCGACCGTCTGAACGGTAAATAATCCTTGATGATTACGGTTTTTCTTTTTTTAGAATCCTGCGACGAATCTGAACGATGATAGATGCAAAATGAGCCATGCACTCGTGGGCGGCCGTGTTTGGATCCGCAGGATTTTTGGTCGCTCTTGCTGCGGCCTTACCTCCAGTCATTAAAATCGGTAAGAAAACATTCTCAATCAATATTAATTACAAGAATTTAGTTGATTTTTTATAAATTCAAAAAAAAATCGTAATTTGTAATGATTCCAATGGGAATTGCAATATTTTCTTATTGTCAAAACAATTTCCTCATTGCCAGTTTGTAAATAATAAATTTATTCGAAAAAGATTCAAGAATATTACATTTATCTCAAGAGATTTTCAACTTGAAAAAATTCTAATTTTTATTAAATAATTTAAAAAGTAATGTTTATTTTGATGTAATATAATAAAAAGTATACAATAAACTTAAGAAATATAAATTAGTAATAGTTATTGTGTATTTACAATATTTTTGTATAAAATTTCATCAATTATTAAAAGTTTTCTTATAGAAATTTTTAGTTTACTTTTATATAATTAAATCAATAAATTCGTTACACTATCAGATAAAATCTCAATTATTCTTTAACGTAAAGAAAGATTGAATTGAATATTAACATAGAAAGAAAATATATTTTATAACATATTTTTTTCATTGATTCTACAAACAAATTCTCTTTAATGATCATCAGTTTTAAGTTGTAAATGATTGTTTTCAAAGAAAAACAAATGATAAATTAAGCACGTACAAGCGATTATCCTGCGGATCTGAGTGATAGCAATACAGCTAAATCGCATTACTAAATCCACCCTCGATCGAGTCGAATTTTTTACGCTGAAAGTTCGTTGACAGCGAAAAAAAGGAAGGGTATTGCTGCAGCCAATGTTTCCGGTCTGCATGCGTATATATCTATATACAAAACTGGGGACGATCCATCAAACCCCGAAGCCATAATAAATTGACTTTAAATGACTGCCATGCGAGATGCATCAGTTTAAATAAGATCCCGAAGAAAAGATCTTTGCACGAAAAAAAAAAGAGGTAAAACATTGGGCAAACTGCCCGCAGAATGAAAAAAAAAATACAGGGGAAACATCCTGTACGTGAATCCATATCGGGACTTTTACTTTGACCCAAATAATATCAAAAAAAAACGTACATATTCGATAGGCGTTTGCTAAAAATACTATTACCAAATCGGATTTTGCTGTTGTTAAAGGTAAAACTAAAACCAAACACTTAAATACTTAATAATACTAGTTTGTCACCGGATGAGGAAACTCACTTAAGACGCTCATTGAGTTACTGGGATTCACGGTCTACCGTTTTTGCCTCCGACTTATCCGGATATGAAGCAGTGCAAACTTCCGGCTTTGGCGTGTCCGGTGCAGTTCGTTCGATACAGTTTTGCAAATGAAATTCATCGATTCCCAATTACTCAGTCGCTTCGTGTACGTACAGAGAGACACAGAGAGAGAGAGAGGAAATAATTTCAATGCCGACGACGAAACCAGTTCGTTTCCTGCAGAAACAGTAAATAAATGAAAATAAATAAAAATGGGCTACGATTTGCGATCGACTGCAGTTCCGTAATTGGAGGAAACAACTTTATAAAAATCTCACACGTTCCGTCGATATTTCCAATAAATTGTATTAACTTCCCGAAATAAACTTGGTGAATGCACCAGTTCAAATAAACACTGTTTACATAATTCAAAACTTACTTATTTTCAAAGATTTTATTATAGTTTTAGTATTTTTTTTTATTATTGAAAACACAAAATAAGAAAATTTCCAAATTGATCAAACATTTAGTTTCATCGATATTTAATATATGCTAATTCTAAAAATAGCAGGTTGCTATGAAACCAATGACAGTTGCTAAGTAAACAATTACGTTGTCATGGACGCCACCTCCATCATTTCTTGTTGCTACTCAAGTAATGAAACAAATTTGGTAAACGCGTCAGGATTTTATTAAATTTCAGTTCAAATAAATACTCTTTTCAAACACTTTTTAATTTATTTTATTAATAAATACGCATTCCGCAAGATGCAAGCAATGACAGTTGCTATGGACGCATTTCGGTTGTCAGGGACGCAAGTAATTAAATAAATTTGGTGGATGAGTCAGGTTTTTGATTACATTTTAGTTCACTATTTTCAATCACTAATTATAATTTTAAAAAATTGGTAGAAGTGAAATTTTAATTGTGTGAAATTTTTGTATTTTTTTTTTTAGTAATACTTGAATTATTTTTATATTTGTTTCATTACTACATTTGTTTTATTAAAAATACAAAAAACTTGAAATGAAAATTGAAAAGGTTGTGTTTCGGTTATTGAGGAGACATTACTCAGGATTACCAGTTGTTAAGGACTCATTTCGGTTGTCAGGAACGCTACGTCCGTTACTAAAGACGCCTTCTTGTTGCTACCCAAACAACGACAGTTGTCAAGTCAATCTTTTAAGAAGTAAACTGGTGTAGTTGTTTTCCTAAGGAATAAACAACAGTAATTTTGAATTTGCGCGGACATTAAAATATGAATAGTTTAGCAAAAGCTGCAGTGAAATTAGTGAGCAGCAAATTCTGTAAAAATAGTGAAATAGTGAGCATTCGAAATTAGTTTATGAACGTCCATTAGTCTTCATAACGTGGGGATTCGCACATAACCGAAAACACACTCTATTCTGAAGAATATATTGGGAGACAACGCGAAAAGGTGTATAAAAAAAATATTTAATAAAGATAATGTACGTTCGTGCATTAAGGAATTTCCTCACGTTTTCGCAGGCTGCATAATAATAGACTGAACTATCATCCCATTTCTTGCTCATCTCCAGTATTTAGCAATTAGTAGTCGTAAAGCGTGCAGCGCATTTGATGATGATGGTAATGGTGTTGTTGCATAAATACAACGTTTTTCCAGACGTTGGTTATTATCATATTATTACATTTTTTCTTTGTGATGAAATTAATTCGTCTCCTGTTTAATCCACTGTAATGTAGACTATGCACCTTGTAATAATAATAAGCGGCTTGCTCATAATGGAATCTATAAATACGAGCTGAACCCACCTCTTTCACCATGCGATAACCGAAACGCGGAAGCCGACCGCTGTTTTACAAAAGCCCTCTTCGTTAAATCCGCTACCATTGTGCACCTTATCACCGGCACCAAACTTCCAACATTCGCAGAAAAAAAATTATATATAGCGAAAAAAAATATCATGCACATGCAACTCTATCATAAAAGAGTTTTCAGTATGAATATTTTAGGTCGTATTTCAGTAGCTCCACACAGCTTTGGGTCAAACAAAACTTTCTGAAAACTTTGATTTCATAGAATAATTATGAAAACGTACAACATTTTTGAATAATGATATTTACAGATTTTTTTTGAATAATTGCAATTAACGATGATTTTCATTATCTTCGAAATTTACTGTATTCTTTGTATGTTTATAATTTGCGATATTCAAGAAAATCCAATAAATATTACTGTTGATGTTTCTGTTTAACACATATAAGAAAATAATGTGGTAAAACACTTTTAATTTGCATTGCTTATTCGAGGTTAAAAGTAGGGACAAGGTAGACAAGCAAAAAGAGAAATATATATAGGAGTAAATACAGCTATTTTACATACGCGAGGATCCTGAATAATGTAATGTATTTTTCAGTGGATCCAATTTGAATAATGAATGCGTAATTACGTTTTCGCTCTCCGTTGCATTCGCCAGCATCCAACCTCTCGTCCATCCCCATCCACCCATCTACCACCGTTTTCTCATCCCAGTTTCGCGCAATTCTTCTTTCAAATTAAACCTTAACTTTTTTTTCTACAGCAAAAGAAAATACGCAATCTTCTAAAATTTACTCTACTTTTAACTTCTAATTTATCATTTCTATGATATTTTTTTTATTTCCATTTCTAATCAAAACAACAATAATATTTATTTAATTGCTATTTTAGAAAATTAACTTAAATATAATAAAAATGAGATTTTTTTTCTGTTATTATTGATAGTAAACGATGATTTTTTCTTTATTTTTATATGGTAATAAAAGTTTCGTTGGAATAACAGAAAGATAAGAACTTAACAGTTGATTAATATTTAGTTACAAACAAATGTATTGATCAAAAGCGAGGAGCCTCGACGTCTGTACGTGTTTTTCTCTATTTTTTTTACACAATAGCTCCACGACACTATAAATAAAAATCGGCTTAACTCGTGACATCTTAAAAGATCACAATTCGATTTATATTCCTATTTTTTTTTGCAATCATTCGCAAATCCAAACAAATCCATTGATCTATAAGAAAATACGTTCAGTATTTTCATTACTAGTGATGATTTGTTTAAAAACAACGATTTCTTTGCGTTCTTAACGAGTCAAAGATATGCAAATTTTTTGTAAATGTTGTTTTGTTTAATAAACATTAACATTTGGATATTTCTAAATATTTTTTAAGTTTTTCAATTTATTATATTAATATGTCTTGTTACAAATTATTGTTGTTATTTCTTTGTAATTTAAGGATAATAATTGTGGATTTTCTAAGTCAAGATTCTTTGAGTGTTCATCAAGGACATTTTAGTTGTTTAGTGACGGTGAGATTGAATCCATTGGTAATATGTAGAGACGTTCGTGTAAATATCTGGGAATCCCCTGGCGCAGGTTCTCATTCCCCAAGAAACGATTCCCACCTGTTGTCCGTAGGTGTCAACCAGAGGACCTCCGGAGTCACCGTGGCAAGCACCTTGGCCATGTCCAGCGTAAGCGCACAAATGCATATCCTTAACAATCTCCCTGTCCATCTCCAACGCTTTGCAGTCGTCGTAGCTCATGCTTCTCAAGTGGAAGAACAGCAACACGTCGGACACGGTTCCTGGGTAACTGGTGAATCCCCAGCCTGGAAGGATAAGGTTTTGGTTTGCCGGAGTCGGGGATGAGGCCAAGACGGCCGGTTGAATGTTGTGGTCGAAGACGATCGGTGTTTCCAGCTTCATGATGCAGACGTCGTTTTGCAGGGTGATCGGATGGTACGCTTGATGGATTACGTAGTGCCAGACTTTGTGCTCTTGTCCACCGTTCGCCCATTCCAAGGATCCGGCGATGATGTTCAGTTCGTACGCTGGGCGACTGAGAAAAGTGTTAATTGAAGAAGTTACAAATTTTGAAACTCGATGATTAAAAGATGTATGTTTACCCGAAAACGCAGTGAGCTGCTGTCAGGATTGTATATTCATCGAGGATGGAACCTCCGCAGACGTGACCCAATCCTTGTCGGATGGAAACCATGAAGGGAAACTCGCCTTCGCTGGCTTCAGAACCACCAACGATGCGGTTCTCCCCATTCGCAACAGCTAAAAAGTAACATTACAGATACACATGAAAATTGTAATAGTTTTAGTATACTTTGTAAAATTTATACAAATATTGATACAAGAAAAAGAAAATTTAATGCAATTTCAAATTTATGTAAATATTTAATAAATTGTACAATAAGAAAATAATCTTGGTATTGTAGTAATAATACAGTTATAAAAGTTGTGCGAAAATTTAATAAATGGTTTAATAATACACTTGGAAAAAGTTGAAATATGTGCAAATTGGAGAGTCTTGTAATTTTTACAAATTCTATCATATAATATTGAATTTATAATAAGAAACTTATGTTTAATAAAAAAATGTAATCTTACCGAAAGCTCCAAGAAGGAAACACAAGGCTACTAGTTTATTCATTTTTGTTCTGGAATCGAATGATTTTGGTAATTCCGAAGTTGCGTTTTTATATCCTCAATTATTGATAAATTTTTGTAAAATTATTATTTTTTTTAGACCATCAAAATTGATGCGATAAAATGGACAAATAGCTACTATCCTCGTGAGTGGTACTTAAATTTGAGTATATATTTAAATATTTACAACAACAACAAAAAAACATATCCAAAATTTATCATTCTAAAAATAGATATTAATTTCTAATTATGGAATATGCAATTAAAAAATATGCTTATCAAATAATACAACTACACATGTAAACAACACTTCTATGACACATCCCAATTTCGCGCAATTCTTCTTTCAAATTAAACCTTAACTTTTTTTTCTACAGCAAAAGAAAATACGCAAACTTCTAATTTATCATTTCAATGATATTTTTTTATTTCCATTTCTAATCAAAACAATTTATTTAATTGCTATTTTAGAGAATTAACTTAAATATAATAAAAATGAGATTTTTTTTTCTGTTATTATTGATAGTAAACGATGATTTTTTTCTTTGTTATTTTTATGTGGCACTGAAAGTTTCGTTGGAATAACAGAAAGATAAGAACTTAACAGTTGATTAATATTTAGTTACAAACAAATGTATTGATCAAAGGCGAGGAGCCTCGACGTCTGTACCTGTTTTTCTCTATTTTTTTACACAATAGCTTCACCACACCATAAATAAAAATCGGCTTAACTCATGACATCTTAAAAGATCACAATTCGATTTATTTTCGATTTATATAGACAAGAAAATAAGTTCAGTATTTTCATTACTAGTGATGATTTGTTTAAAAATAACGATTTCTATTGCAAATATTGATTAATTGTGTTAAGTGAATCTTTTTCAATTCATGCGAATATCAAGATTCTTAACGAATCCAAGATATGCAATCTCTTGCACAATTCTGATTCCATAATTGCTTTCATTTGGTCAACATAAACTTCTGCAGGTCAACGAGAATGATGATCATCATTCATCATCATCAAAACAGTTTATTTAAACCAATTATATCACGTGTATTCTGTTAAACAATCAATTTAACATATCGATATGTGAGCCTCGGCAGCTTTATTGCCTTTCAGAAAATAAAAATTGTTAAACTAAGAACTGCTAACAAAATTACGCTCAATTCTGCTAAAAGTGACATTTTTCAATTGACTAAAGGGTTTTAACATTAACAGAAGTCAAATATAATGAATAGAACTTAATAAATTATTGAAAAGTAAACTTGAAATTATGTTTTTTATTCATGTTTTTTTTATTTTCTGTAAAATGAATCAAATCATTTAGAGTGTAAGGTTTCCTTTATTATTATTTTTTTTTTGTTGGAACATGCGAAAAGTGAATTGCGAATTGTAAATGAAGGGATCGCAGGATAGAAAAGTAAATGCTTGTTTTGATGGGAGGAAACTCGGAAGGGCCATTAGAAGGGCCGTGGAAATGTTAGGCCTGTTTTCCCAATCAGCACTTCCTGGAGAGACGAGAAGTGTACACGCGCTCGCTCTCTTTCCGCCCTTTCCTTTTTTTATCTGCGACCGAAGATATTCCCAATGACGGTGACAATAAAAGGGCTGAGAGATCGTTGCTACTCTTACCGCCGATCAATCCGGAGGCTTGTTATTGAGTTATCCGGGAGGTATTAAAAAAGGAATGACCTAGTATCTATTATACAGAGAGAGAAATTTCGGATCTTTTCCCTTTTTTGTTACTTCACTCCACTTCAACGAATGGTATTTTTATGTATCCCACTCGAAACGTGCTGCAAACTGATATAATGAAAAAGTCTTCAGTTTTCTTGATATTTTTCACGAAATGTTTTTCGTCATTTACCTTTAAAGTTTCTATAAACGTTGTTTTGTTTAATAAAAATTTGGATATTTCTAAATATTTTTTAAGTTTTGCAATTTATTATATTAATATGTCTTGTTACAAACTATTGTTGTTATTTATTTGTAATTTTAGGATAATAATTGTGGATTTTCTAAGTCAAGATTCTTTGATTGTACATCAAGGACATTTTAGTTGTTTAGTGACGGTGAGATTGAATCCATTGGTAATATGTGGAGACGTCCGTGTAAATATCTGGGAATCCCCTGGCGCAGGTTCTCATTGCCCAAGAGACAATTCCCACCTGTTGTCCGTAGGTGTCGACCAGAGGACCTCCGGAGTCACCGTGGCAAGCACCTTGGCCGTGTCCAGCGTAAGCGCACAAATGCATATCCTTGACAATCTCCCTGTCCATCTCCAACGCTTTGCAGTCGTCGTAGCTCATGCTTCTCAAGTGGAAGAACAGCAACACGTCGGACACGGTTCCTGGGTAACTGGTGAATCCCCAGCCTGGAAGGATAAGGTTTTGGTTTGCCGGAGTCGGGGATGAGGCCAAGACGGCCGGTTGGATGTTGTGGTCGAAGACGATCGGTGTTTCCAGCTTCATGATGCAGACGTCGTTTTGCAGGGTGATCGGATGGTACGCTTGATGGATTACGTAGTGCCAGACTTTGTGCTCTTGTCCACCGTTCGCCCATTCCAAGGATCCGGCGATGATGTTCAGTTCGTACGCTGGGCGACTGAGAAAAGAAGTTAATTGAAGAAGTTACAAATTTTGAAACTCAATGATTAAAAGATGTATGTTTACCCGAAAACGCAGTGAGCTGCTGTCAGGATTGTATATTCATCAAGGATGGAACCTCCGCAGACGTGACCCAATCCTTGTCGGATGGAAACCATGAAGGGAAACTCGCCTTCGCTGGCTTCAGAACCACCAACGATGCGGTTCTCCCCATTCGCAACAGCTAAAATGTAACATTACAGATACACATTTAGTATACTTTGCAAAATTTGTACAAATATTGATATAGGAAAAAAAAATTTAATTCAATTTCAAATTTATGCAAATATTTAATTAATTGTACAATAAGAAAATAATCTTGGTATAGTGATAATAATACAGTTATAAAAATTGGCAAGTTATATAAGAAAATAATTTAGATATAGTGATCATAATACTATTGGAAAAAGTTGAAATTTGTGCAAATTGAAGAGTCTTGTAAGTTCTGCAAATTCTATCATATAACAATGAACTTATGTTCATTAAAAAATTGTAAATATTAATAATTCTTACCGAAAGCTCCAAGAAGGAAACACAAGGCTACTAGTTTATTCATTGTTGATCTGGAATCGAATGGTTTTGGTAATTCCAAAGTTGCGTTTTTATATCCACAATTATTGATAAATTTTTGTAAAAATTATTTTTTTTTTTGGACCATCAAAATTGATGCGATAAAATGGACAAATATCTACTATCCTTGTAAGTGGTACTTAAATTTGAGTATATATTTAAATATTTACAACAACAACCAAAAAAAACATATCCAAAATTTATCATTCTAAAAATAGATATTAATTTCTAATTATGGAATATGCAGTTAAAAAATACGCTTATCAAATAATACAACTACACATGTAAACAACAATTCTATGACTAATTCAGGAAATGTGGCGCCGTAACAACTTGTATTTGTAACAGAAGAGCGTAAGACAATTGTTTTTATTAAAAATTCTTACATATTAGGAAGTTTGACCTATATTTTAAATATAAAGTTAATAAATTTTGCAGGATTTTTACGTACTAAACATGCGATGTAAATTGTGATTGTTTTGTGAAGACATTAATAATGTAGATGACTGGAGCAAGGCTATGTTTTCTCCCTTGTAATAACAATGACGTAATCATCGTCGTCGCTTGCTCGCAGCGAACAATGGACTCATCGCATGAACCCATAATGCTAGATGCGCCGAGATTAAGTAAACTGAATGCATTTAGTGTTAAATTTGAAGACGCTAATTACCGAATGTCTTGCGTACGGATCAGAGCTCACATTGTTTCCGGAGACTGGAAAGGCAGCAACTCTTCCAGAAGCAAACATTCATCTAAATTCGTGCATTAAACAAGAACTCGGATGAGTAAATAATGTATACTTACTTAAATGTAAATATATATTACAACTTTGAATAAATGATGAAAAGGTGGCCCAATTGAACTGCAACTTTCGGTTGAAATGAAGTGTGGAACGTTGTCTCTCAGCCATTATTGGTTTTCGAATTTCTCAATTGGCAAATTTTTCTCATCAGACAAGACGATATTTGGCAATAAGGTGCGTAGTTTTGAACATCGGTGAGATCTTGTCCTTTTTGGAACTTACAAGGCTTCACTTTGAGTTCGATTTTGAGTATTTGTTACATGGTTATTTTCGATATGTTCAGCTGTGTAGTCATTTGTCTTCCACTGCGTCGCGGATTTCATTCAATTCGAGCCTTAAGTTTCTGAATCACTTCTACCACAAATTTAGTGTTTTTCCGACCACCAAAATAACATTTTGTAACACTACTAGCTTCGTTATAACGTGTTATGTTTCGAGACACGAAAGATTTATTCACATCAAGCTGTTCGAGCGCTCAAACAATAGTCACATTTGGTTTTCCGCTCAAATATTGGGCAATCACTCTATTACGTTTGCATTCCATCGCTGATAACTTTTTTTTCCAAAAAACTGAGATGCAAATGCTTCCGCAGACTTGTAAACAATAAAATCAGCTATCATTAGGCAAAATATGGACACAACATTGCCAACGGTTCAAAAGTTATAGCAGTTTTAAGTTGGTTGCAGTTCAATTGGGCCACCCTGTATATACAGTGAAACCTCGCAAACTGTAACATAATTGACTCGTTTAACGAGCGACGTTTCTCATAATGAGTGAAGAGGAGAAGGAAAATTTCGGATTGTGACCTTGCTACATCATCTTCCATTTTTATGTCGGATTTTAATAATCCTAAAACATCGTTCACTATTTTTTATTCGTACTTGTATTCAATAATAAACATTAAGAATCGTTTATTTACTCAAATAATATTAAAATCTTCACTAAATATTACATAAAAATTGTAATTATATATTAAGGATAGTTTTATTAATATTTTTGTTATAAGAACATCAATTAAAAAAATATCAAAATTAACTATTAATATAATGAAAAGATAAAAATTCTATAGTTTATAAATTAAAAAGTAAGATAACAAACCAATAATTAAAAAAAAAATATTTTTTATTCCACGCTTATTTTCTTACTCATTATCGTAAAAAATATGTACTCATTCAATTTTTATCTAATCAATAAATATGCATTTTTTATAATCATTTTATCACAAGAAAAATTACGTTATAAGAAAATTTACTTCTTTTAATTATTTGGAGTTTATTTGCATTTATTACTAATGTTTCTATACATTAATTACTTATTTTTGTATTCATTAATTTAGTTTTTTAGTTTAATGAAACTGATTTCTTACTATTATTTTATCCTAATAAATATTGGCCTTTTTCACTTGAAATATATCATAAATTGGATGATATTAAGTAAACGTATTTCTATCAGATGTCCAAGTTTAATTTGTATTGAGATATGTTTGCCCGGGCATTTTATGATCGCTAATTGTTGCGTGTGTTTGTTGTTGTTGATTTGCAGGCGCAATTTTCACGGAGGACCAAAAGGACGGTGTCACCGAGTTGGCGTTCAAGTACGCCGTCCACAAGATAAACAAGGACAAAACGTTGCTGCCCTACACGTCCTTAGTGTACGACATACAATACGTGCCCAAGGACGACAGCTTCCATGCGAGCAAGAAAGGTGAGCTGCAAAACACTCCATCCAATCTATCCTATACAATACACATTCTCTCAAGCGTGAGGATAAATCCGAATTGTTTCACCCTTTTGCTTTTGATGTACGTAATTGCGTATTCGCGAATTAAATTCAAATTGCACTTTTCGTAACGAATTGCGACAAACGAGAAACTGATCCTTCCGTTTTCCTCTTTTAATACATGAAGATACGAAAGAGAGAGAGTAGAGTAGAGTAGAAGGAAAAAGGATGGACCAGAAGCCCTCTTCCGAACCAATAAATCCTCGCTCGCTCCTGGAAATCCGCCAAAATGCACTTTAACTTTGTTACGACGCGCAAGATGCAAAACGGTTTTCACTCTCCTTTCGCTCTCCTGGAAACCGCCCAGCGACTTTATTATTTATCATCGCTATAACTCAATTTATTATGCGACGTCTCTTCTCCAGCTTCATTATTTAGCGAATTTATAGATGACTGAAATTGAGAGAGAGAAAGAGTCGATACAATACGACTTGAAAAACGTATAAAATTTAGAAAAACTATTATAGCAAACTTCAGTTCTCGAACATAATTTATTATTGAATGTACTAAAACCGAATTTCTCGAAAACCCAAACTATTTTCCATTTAATCATTACAAATTTGTCACGTTTTTATTTACTGTTTTTAAGGATACAGAAATTTTACATTTTTACAATTAACTAAATACTTAATTAAGTATATGTATAATATTGAATTAAACGAACATTTGTTACTTTTAACCAACCTAAAATAGAAATTTCGTTGATTCTTCGAAAGTTAATTTTTCCTTTTTTTTCAACTTTGAAAGCGAATTACGGCCAAATATGTTAGATAAAACCACAGTAATGAATACTCACTACATTCTTCAAACATCTAGCTTTCATATGCAACTTTTAGATCTGTTCTGTTCATTATAGTTTTCGAAAATATAAAATTTCGAATAAAAGTAATTTTTTATCAAAATACTTATTCAATCACGATGATTTCACCTTTTATGAATCTTATATTTACGCAACAGAAATTATTAAGTCTCTCCCATTCTCTTGAACTTATTTCAAAAGTTTCCTGTTAAATATTAAAAGCGAATGTTGCGAGACAAACAGGGGACAATATTTCTGAACTGGGATTAAACGAAAATTTGAGAATTAATGTTCCCTCCGTCGAGTTCGTCTTCCCAATTAAAACTACACCGGATTTCGAATACTGGCGCGAATTTGTGCGCTGCTGCTGCGATGGAAACGAGACCGCTCGCTTTCACTTGCACGAACTTTGCTCACCCCCGCAGGAAATCGCATGTAAAACGTGAAACTTTCAACTGAGCTGATTGCCACAACTGCAATTATTTCAACAGCATTGTAAAAGCGTCCAAAATCAGACATGTACTTAGACAGCGCAAACTACAACTTTTGAACTACACGAGATGTGCAATCAAGTCCACATTTACAGGATGTATAGTATCAAACAGTATTCTGAATTATCCTTTTCAGGTATATTTGGAAATTCGCTTTTACTTTTATTACAAACCTGTTTTTTTGTGCGATGTTTTCTTTCTGCTCACTCCGAAACATTCCGAGCAGGAAATTTATTTGTCTCCAGAGTGTCGTGCTCCTTTCCATAAGCGACATGCCATTTACCAACGTCCCGTCCTCCTATTCCTGCGCCTCTTCACCTGCTAATTGTCCTTTCCAAATACAAAGCGCTCAGTGTTCTTTTTTTTATCTTAATGTAACTTTCAGAAGCAAAACGACTTTTGCACACGCTTTACTTAGAAACAAACAAAAAACAGACACTCTTAGGCTAAAATTACCACGTTTTATATATCAGAAACTTTCTGAAAATTGACCGTAAAATTATGTAATAATTTTACTTTCATTACGCAGTTATTTTGATAATTTAACACAATAATTAATTAAATAACATAAATCTCAAGAAAACTTAATTATTTTACAATTATTTCCAAAAAAAATCTAATACTAAAAATTTCAAATAAAAGTGATCTTAAAGTGAGTAAGAATATTCATAATATACAAATAACAAAGGCTATCCCATTCTCCAAAAAACAGACATTCTTAGGCTGAAATCACCACGTTTTATATATCAGAAACTTTCTGAAAGTTGACCGAAAAAATTATGTAATAATTTTGCTTTCATTGCGCAGTTATTTTGGTAAATTTAACACAATAATTAATGACATTTCATAAATATCAAGAAAACTTAATTATTTTACAATTATTTCCAAACAAATCTAATACTAAAAACTTCAAATAAAAGTGATCTAAAAGTGAGTAAGAATATTCATAATATACAAATAACAAAGTCTCTCCCATTCTCCGAAAAAACAGACATTTTTAGGCTGAAATCACCTCGTTTTATAAATCAGAAACTTTCTGAAAATTAAGCGCGAATTTATGAAATATGTTTTCATTCTTTACGCGTACGAAAATTTCTTTTTCAGTTGAAATTTTTAAATTGTATTTCGAAATATACGAGGAGCGGTTTTCTCGTGGTCGCAACGCTTGTATTTTGGCTTAATACCAGAAAGTTTGAAAGATTTATCGCGACCGTAAATTATCTTTCACATTCAAGAATCTCCGTCCTCGTAACATTTATTTTCTATACTTTTTTTTTACTTTCATTTCGTCTATTTCGAGCAAAATAATAACCCAAAATAATTACAATCCTTATGCCATGTTTCTCAAATTCAGACAATAACAAAAATTATTAATAAATTTGAATTACACAAGTATTCAGTTATAAGTAGTCAACTTTACATAGTGAAAGTTACTACATTTTCATGAATCATAAAGTATTATATATGAGTTTCTTTATTACGTAAATAAATTTGATTTTATTATGTTGAATGTGTCGTGATGAAATCGTCCGCAATATACTTTAAAGCCACTTTTTTTGATCATTTTTGAGATCTTCGTTTAAGCGACTGAATAAATAAATTCTACTTATGCATGTTTCTATTTATGCATGTTTCAGTTTGTTTTTTTTTTATTTTCTAATATCAAAAACCTCTCTCATCTTATATTATCTGATGAATGGTGCAATTCGTACACGTCGAGATTGAATCATGAGCGAGACATCCAAAACACGAGCATTTCCATAAAACTTTACGTCCTCTTTATTGTCCTCTCTTTCTCTATCTTTCGCGTTCTCGATCCTTCGTCTACTTGCGGAGAAGACATGCATTATTTTGCATACTTTATATTCCATACATTATTCGAGATCTCATCCGGACTCGACCTTCCACTGTAAATATTAAAACATGCTTTTAAAAATGTACTGTTTCTCTCTATTATTCCAATTTTCTTACAACTTTTCAATCGTCTACGAACTACGAAGATCGCAAAAACATTATTCACTTAAATGTTTGATTAAGTTTGTATATTTAGAATAAAACATATTGTTTTATAATTAAAGATTTCTCGTTTAGTTCTTAATCTATTTTACTAAATAAACTCTCAAATTAAAGCTGAATATATGGAGAATGTAATAGTTTAATTAAATACTATTACAATCAACGTCCTTACTTTTTGAACAATTTCTCGATTATTACTAAACCGATATTCTTAAATTAATGCTCAAATTCAATGTAAAGTTATATAGAATCTATTAATAAAATTGATTTATAGCGTAAATATTAAGTATTTAAATAATTGAAGAAAATATAAGTTTATGTCATGATAATTATTGTTTTGTTGTTTCAGCTTGCAATCAGGTTCGGTTTGGAGTGCAAGCAGTTTTCGGTCCTTCTGATCCTCTTCTCGGCTCGCACATCCACTCCATCTGCGATGCCCTCGACATTCCGCATCTGGAGGCGCGGCTGGATCTGGACTCGGACATCAGAGAGTTCTCCATCAATCTGCATCCGGCGCAGCCACTCCTGAACGCCGCATTTCAGGACGTCATGTCCTTCCTCAACTGGACCAAAGTTGCGATCATCTACGAGGAGGATTACGGTAATCCATTCAATCCTTTTAACCATACAAAGAAAAAAAAACCCACACGTTTTTCTTTCTTTTCAAGGATTGATTAAGTTACGCGAATTGGTCCGATCACCGCACAACAGAGATCTGGAGATTCATCTGAGACAGGCCGATCCGGAGAGTTACAGAGCTGTTCTCAAAGAGATTAAGAGTAAAGAGATTCACAACATCGTCATCGACACGAAACCATCAAATATGAATCACTTTTTGAAAGGGGTCCGTTTATATAACAAATTAAATTGATTACATATTAAATAAGGGATAATTTCATGAACAGATTCTTCAGCTGCAAATGAACGACTACAAGTACCACTATTTATTCACCACCTTCGACATAGAAACTTTCGATCTCGAGGATTTCAAGTACAACTTCGTGAATATGACAGCGTTTCGAGTCGTGGATGCCGATGATCTGTCCGTGCAAGAAGTGCTCAGGGATATGGCGAGATTCCAACCGGAATCCGGTCCACCTCTTATAAACTCATCCTACATACAGGTTAGTGCCAAATTACAAATAAATTTTAGTTGAAAATATTTGAAAAAACAACAAAATAACGTCTCTACTTTTTCAACTAAATCTCAATTAGTCCTGAAGAAATTTCGAAAAAAAAAAAAGAAACCTCACATTAAAGTTGAATATAGGCAGAATGAACAGTTTAAATTCATTTTTAATTTTATTTTATCAATTTTGAGTGAAAACGTTTCCAAAATCGAGCTATATTTTCATACTTTTGTCTTCAGTTTTTCAACCATTGTTACTAAAACAATTTTGGAAAATGAAACTGCAAAGTAAAGTTGATTGTATAGAGATAACTATAAATAACAGTTTTTCTCTTATTGTCTCCATTTTTCGATTATTTCTGAAGTAAGTTTGGAAGAAAAATCAAAAAATTAACCAATTTTTTTTTTTAACTATTTTCCCAATTATTACTAATGTTTTTATAGAAAATGAACTACCAAATTAAAGCTAAATATATAGAGAATACTAAAATTGAATTAATTTTTAAATTTCTTTTACACAACATTTCATACATTTACCTATAATTATTCAAGTATTTCTCAATTATTTCTTTATAATTATAGTTAAGTATATCTGTAATTCATTAGTTATATTACTGTGAAATATTCACTTACCAAATATTAGTGAAATTGTTAAAACTTGAAATTTCCGAAAACTAATTCTGTAACTTCAGTCGGAGCGATATTGAATTAAATAAAAACTGAATTTATGCGAAAAGTCCGAGGGTTAAAGCGGCTTAAAAGATGATATTTTAAATGGGTGCGCTTCGACAGATAAACCGACTGTTCGCATCAAATACGGTATATTTGCCATCATCCGAAATATTCAAATTAAAAAAAAATCGTATAAATTGATACATCGAGTACAATTGAACACTTTTTACCAATAAATTTTGTTCAGAAATTCATTAATTTATTGATATTATCATTTTAAGGCAGTTTGGAACTTAAATAATTATTGGTGGGTGTCCCAAAATTAACGCAAGATTTGAATTTGCCGCTCTTTGTGCAGAAAAGTGTCAAATTGTTTATTTTCCAACACTTTACTGCACAAAATGATACCCTTTATATTATTAGTATTCACATAGCCAACTTTAATCCATTGTTTAAAGCAATATCAAAAATATATATAACACCTTGATTAAAGTCTAAATTTAATTGTGGTGTGCACTTTTAAGTATAAATCTTGATTAGAAACAAAAAAAAATATATAAAAATGATTACATAATTAAAAAGAAAAGATGATAAATTCTCATGTAAACATGCCAAATTATATTACTAAAGTTACTAAATAAATCTTCTATTGTTATTGACATATAATCTGACAGATTGATGCGAAACAATTCATTTTGCGTATCGAACGAGATTGAATTTTTGTTCTTGCCTTTTGTAAACGTTGGAAATCAGGGTGTTTCGCAACAGATTGCCTCCGCCGTGGACAGGATAATAAATCTTAATTTGTTCGGTCCCGTCCCGTCCGACGCAAAAGAATAATTGAATCGTTTATTAAGTGGGCCGTGTAGGTGGCAGAAAGTAAAGCAGAGAGAGAGGGATGAGTTCGATTGATTTATTGTGACTTATACCGGTAGCTGCGATTTTTCTGAATCTCCCTTGTATTAGTTTCGTTTCTACGCAGTCTGCAGAATCGGTGTCTCCGCCCAGGAACAATTCAGATAAGGGACGTTTTCGGTCATTGCGAATAGGAATTGGAGATAACAATAACAATTATTCTCATGCCTGTAGAAACAAGTAGTATAATGTTTGGAATATACCGCCAAGTATATATAGAGAGAAAGACATCTCATGTATGAATAATAGGAAAGTTTCAGCGCTCTCCGAACAAAGAACTGTGGAGAGAAGAAAAAAAAAGGATCATTTGAATAATCAAGAGAACTTAACGTCCTCCTGTCCCGTTTGTTTGTACAGAAATTGAATTAATTTTCAATAACACCAAGTCGACACTTATCAGCGAATACTACAGCATCTACATTTGCAATTCCTAAACTAAACAAACAATGAATGTTAATTTATCCGTTTATTTCCCATTATTTCGTCAACAAATACTCTTGCTAATAATCGCGAAACTAAAATACACTTTTACATTAATTCTATAAGTTTTCAAATTAAATTCAGTTTACTAGTAAATTATAATCAAATTAACTTGAAATAAATCATGTTTCTTATAAAACTTAAATTATCTCTTCTATTTATTGTACATTAACTTTGTATCCATTCAACTTAAATTTTGATTATGTACACAAGCAAATAAACTTGTACACAAATGTTGAATTGGAGAAAAAATAATACACATTTAATAACAAAGATCATGTGTTTCCATTAATTTTGCTGATGTGTCTGAATTAGATTGGATTTGATTACCATTTAATTAAGTATCGATCAGTTCTGAGCATTTATGCATGACCCCTGTCTGTTGGTATTTCAGAAATTTATCATAATTTCAAGTTAAACGGAAAAGCAATTAAACAGCGTTTCCAGAGGCGCGCGCGCTTTTAACGATCCCAACGTTTCCTCGCGAAAACGTTAATTGCTCTTTGTTGCAAAAGCACAATATTTAATGATTATCTCCGCGAACAATTATCACCTTTTCGGTGCAAAAAAAAACAGAAACATAGAAAGAACAAACGAACATTAAAAACGGATTTGGTGTTCAAAAGAAAAAAAATTGTATAAAAATTGAATTTACATGTTACTTGCTTTAGAGAATAAAATCTGCACAATAGGTAGAAAAATTGCGGTAATTGGATCATTTCTTTTGATGTAATTAAAAAAAATAACTCATGAAATGTAATTCTTGACGTTCATATAAATATGACTTTATAAAGCATATTAAAAAAAGTAGCTTTATTTTATAACGAAATTTATATGTTTATAAATTTGACAAATGCTGTTACCATATTAATGCACACGTTTAAAACTATATATATTTAGCAATCATTTAGTCAAAAGTTATTTTTGAGGCTAAAACAAACAGTTTCTTTTTGCTAAAATTGTCCAAAATCATAAATAACGTAATCCAATCAGTAAGCACATTTGAAACTACACATATTTAATTTTAATTTGGTTGCTTAATATTTAATTAGTCTTTGATAGTTTTTGAGAAATTGTAAAAAAAATGTAGACACTAATTTTGTGACTAAATTATGTTATAAAACGTAACTCATTTGAATATGCTTTATGCGCATGAAACTGATATTTACTTTGAACTTCAAACATGAGATTGAATAAATAGAAAAAAAAAAAACGGGGAGGAATTAGAGGAAACTTAATTAAAATCAACGCCAGATTACTATAATATATATATATAAACTATATATAATTAGCAATCATTTAGTTACTTCATATATATCTAACTTCAAATAATTTTCAGTAAAAATGCAAAGAGTTATTTTTGAAGCTAAAATTATCCAAAATCACAAATAACTCAAAATTAGTGTCTACATTTTTTTACAATTTCTCAAAAACTATCAAAGACTAATTGAATATTAAGCAACCAAATTAAAGTTAAATATATGTAGTTTAATTTAAAATGTGCTTACTGATTGGATTGAGTTATTTGTGATTTTGGATAATTTTAGCTTCAAAAATAACTCTTTGCATTTTTTCTGAAAAATATTTGAAGTTAGATATATATGAAGTAACTAAATGATTGCTATATTTATATAGTTTTAAACGTGTGCATTAATATGGTAATAGCATTTGTCGTTTAGTCGTAATTAACTGTTAAATTTATAAACATATAAATTTTAGTTTCGTTATAAAATAAAGCTACTTTTTTAATATGCTTTATTAAGTCATATTTGTATGAACGTCAAGAATTACATTTCATGAGTTATTTTTTTAATTACATCAAAAGAAATGTTTCTACCTATTGTGCAGATTTTATTCTCTAAAGCAAGTAACATGTAAATTCAATTTTTATACAATTTTTTTTCTTTTGAACACCAAATCCGTTTTTAATGTTCGTTTGTTCTTTCTATGTTTCTGTTTTTTTTTGCACCGAAA